ACGCGCATGCGCACACGCGCACGCACACGCGCACGCACACGCACACGCACACGTACACGCACACGCACACGCACACGCACACGCACACGCACACGCACACGCACACACACACACACACACACACACACACACACACACACACACACACACACACACACACACACACACGCACGCACGCACGCACACACACGCGCGCGCACACACACACACACACACACACACACACACACACACACACACACACACACACACACACACACACACACACGCACACACGCACACACACACGCACACACACACACGCACACACACACACACACACACACACACACACACACACACACACACACACACACACACACACACACACACACACACACACACACACACAGTTCTATGAGTTAACAAAGACACGTAAAAAGAACAGTCATAGAGTTACATCCCCTCCCCACCTATTTTTTAATAATTATTGCTAAAACCATTAATTATTGCCTAACCACAGTAAAAAGGATTTTGCTGCCAAACTTTACATCTTGCATTCTTACATTAATCAATAAAAGCTTACGTTAAACAACCAGTGTATCTGTACTTGCGGATAATGTTTGTAAAATTGTAGATGAAAGTATAAATCCCCCTTTTTATGCTCTCAATAAAGCCCCATTTTTAATCCCCCCACTGCTATAATAATCTTCCCACGTCACCCCCCCCCTCCCCTCTTCACTATAAGTACTGAACACACTAGCGTGGAGAGATAGTGAGAAGTGGTACAAGAAACGGCCAAGGAAAAACCCAGGGGCCACCAGTCAGTCCCACCAGTCAGTCATAAGCATCCAGTACATGGGGCGTCATGAACTCCCATGCCTTATTTCTTCCCCCTTTTTCAGCTTCTTGTGTCATTGTGGCTTGAAATGTTTCTCTATTTTTCATATATAATCTACGTTTTTTCTATCACTTGTGGTAGGCCTGCGGTTCTGATGTCATCGCCTCCAACAGACCCCCTCCCCACCCTCTTGTTTTCTAATAAATATATTGAAGACATAGTTTTACTAATCATTATATTTTCAGACTTTTGCTTCTTATTGATATATTAATTTAGTTATTTAAACTGATTGCAGCTGCATTTGAAATAGATGTCTGTAATAGTATGTAAGACTAATAACGTTTATTCCTCTTTATGTATATACTTCGCAAAATGCTCTTTATGAATTATATTTGTTCTAACAATGTTGCTTTTAAAACTTAAAGAATGTCTGAACATAATGATTTTTGAAAACGTTGGTCCTCATATATTATACTGTCAATGTCTGTGCTTGTGTTAAGATTGCCCAAACCAGCAACAATTCCAAAACCAATTGTTTCTCATCCGTATGGAAATATTACCCACAAATTGTCTGACTGCTTGGCATTCTAGTTCCCCTTAGAGTAGAACAGAGTCCTCAGGCATGTTCCAAGGTGCCTGTTGTTCTTTTTTGGCAATAGTTCCACCCTCATTTAATATATGAATATTTCACTAGTTTCACCTTAGATTTAGGTAATGTATTTTGGTTTTGATTTGCTTTGTCCCCCTTTGGTCTTTTATTTTGATAATTTGACGCACTTTTATTTTCTTTTCTTTGCTGCAATGTGAAAAATATATATGATCGAAAAATACTAACAGTGCGTTAATTTGCTACTTTCATTGATTATATTATTTTGTTTGTGTTCTGAATAAACCAGTATAACTTTCTGAGACAAGCCTTTTGCGGACTGATAGTTACAGCCACCTTAAGTGACCTTAGGTAGCAGACTCGTCCCTCAAGGCAAACGCTTTCAAAAAAGAACACCAGAACGGAATGATCTCAGTGGCTTCCATCTTCGTACACTCAGTTAGTGCGACCTTCCTCCCCAAGCACACATGTCACAGGATGCGCTTTGAGTAATTCCCCAGACTGATCCATTCTCCGTCGTGAATGTTTACACCTCAGAAGCTGATCTGCTTTGTGTAGCCGAGTCACAGCTGCTTTCAAACTCTTTCTCTCTCCCTCGCCCTCTCCGTCTCCTTCCTTCTTTCTTTCTTCATCTTTATCTGTCTCACCTCTCTGAATCCCCGTAGTTGGTAGGCAGTCGTAGTAGTTGGCCCCTCCACCCTTCTTGCGGTCTGTAGGATGGTCCCTGATCAGAGTGATGTACACACGATGCACAGGGCGACCAGATGACGACCTGACGCTGCCCAGTGACCCAATCTCTCAGCTGGATTCAAGGTCTTAGCTTTTGCCAAGTCACGTGATGGTTATGGAGGAAATGGTTAATTGTGATTACAATTAACATATTCCATGATCATTACTGATTGTGGTAGGCTCGTGTCGTTGCACGTTATTTGGTTAATCTCACGGCACTGACATTACCAAATGCAGAATTCCTTCATCTGGTCAGGGATGTATTTCAAGACAGTCCTCCTTTTCCCGCTGTCTCTTTCCTTCCTTATCTCTTCCTTGTCTCTACTGCATTTCCTTTCTTTGGGTTAGACAGTAGTCATCTCCCTCCCTTAGATAAGTTTAATGGCACTCAAATTGTTTATAGTTAATAGCATTTAAAAATCCGCACTGAGAATGACTATAATTGAGTTTTAATCAGTCATGAACTTGGTAATATATGTCAGAAGTCTCCCACGCCTTCTGCAGAGGAGCTGAATATCTTGAAATATATCTTTCGATAAAGGGGAATCAACCTATAAGCAGGCGGTTTGTTCAAGTTCAAGGGTGGCCCTGCCAAGTTTCACTTAGTTGAGTGTGTACATTGAGTGGGTGTACTTACTGGATGTGGGTGGTGGATGGGGCTCCGGCTTACTGTGTGGGTTGTCTCTCCCTCAGCTCTGGACCCCGTGCCTCCCAACGGCCTGTGTGGCAAAGGGGGGGTCGGCCAAGCTTCCGCCTCCACTGACGGAGCTGGAGGCTTGGGCACCGCCCTTTCCTCCTCCCTCTCACCACCTTCCTCCTCCACGGGCTCCCCGCCGGCCGCCCACCCAAGTCTCTCCACTGCTAAACTCCTCAATGCTGTCACGTTCGAGACTATCGACTCTGGCACTGAAAAAGACGATGACGAGTATCCAGAGTCTTCTATGTCGACTTTCAGATCCTCTCTTCTTACCTCTGCTGCCTCAGAGACTGTAGACTCCGGAATTGGCAATGATGAATTAGGTGCTGAAACTAGCATTTCTAGATTTCTCAGTAGGTGTGACGATGTCAGAAATGAGCAGTGTGAAACTCTTGGCGAAAACGAGGAATCTCAATCCTCGTATAGATTTATTTTTTCGTCATCCCGGAAGACAATGGAACTTGAGTCTCCCACGAGTGATGGGAAGGCCTTTTCCTGGACCTCTGTAAATAGTGTCTCTTCAACTTATGCAACATCTCAACCTAGTTCGAAAGTTACGCTTGTTACTACCAAATTTGCTTCTTTGTCAGTGTCGTCTCCAGATAAGGAAATATCACTTAAAGTATCGCCAGAAGTGTCTAGCCCAAGTGTTCCGCCTTCCTCAGGGATATTTAACATCAAACTCCTGAAGGAAACACTGTTGAGGGAGAGTGAAGGACTCGATCCATTACAACCATCGCCCAACTTAGAAGACTCGTTGTCTACCTGTAGTCACTTAACTCTCTCTGGCTCAAGTGGCTTTTTCTCCAAGTCGACTGCCACTGACGAGGTGCCGTCCCCCAAGACCTCGCCCTCAGCAGAGCCCGAGTACCCTGCGGAGGTGAACGGCGATGTCCCAAGCACCACGTTCTTCCTAAGGTCTCCTGTGAAGACCGCCCCTGTGATTGGTGAGTCGACCTCCCCGCCGGATACTACTGGGCAAGAGTCCACTGAAAAGCCTTCCTTTGGACTCACACGATTTTCTTTCCTGACGAAGGATTACTTGCCTCACACTGAAACTTCTGCCGAGGAAGATGCATCCTCGACTGTGCTCAGTTCATCGCCATCCTTAGCCAGCCTCATCTCGTCGCCTTCGACAGGATTCACCTTTTCCTTCTCAAGAACCAGTGAAGCCTCTGCCACTACACTGACGACCGCCACAACCACACCCCTTGTCTCCACATCCGCTACCTCTCCACCCAGAGAAAAATCAAGATTTTTCTCGTTACTAAACCTGAGACGCACCCCTAGCCCAGAGTTTCCTTCTTCGCCACCTGCTACTAATGGTGAGAAAGTCTCACCTCCGGAAAGTAGTCTGAAGCTCAAACTTGGAGGAACTACAAAAATATGTGATGAAGCAATATGTGATGAAAAGTCTGACAAACTTTCGGAAAAGCCTGACATAGGGGCCACAGAGACCAATCGTTCAGGAGAGCTGAAGAAAGGTAACCTTAGGCCCCTTAAGGACACTCCGCTTTGCTCGAGTGTTGACACTTTCTCCTCTCTGTCCTGCTTCTCAGTACTCAACTTGCATCATCAACTAGACAGAACACTCGAGCAAAGACTGGTTAGAAATATACTTTAGGAACACGTCGTAAAACTTGTTAAGCGATATTGTACATTTAGCTCTGACCAAAAGGGTAATGCCAAGGGTCAGTGAGTAGGCTGTAGAGGAACCTGTATGGAAATTCATGCACTTAGAGTAGATATCACCAACACTGTCATGAATGTTATAGGCATGGAGAGAATTGCCTATGAACAGAATTATGGCTGCAACTAAGAATTTTATAGTAAAAAAAGATACCTTTTTTTTGGTTGTATTCATTCATATGAAAATTATTATTTAAAAAGAAAGTCCTTACTGTAACAGCACGCAAAAACGTTTATTTTTTGAGTATTATTATAATTTTCTTATTAACCCTTCCCCCCTTGCCCCGGATTTTCAATATACCAGAGAAGCCCCCCCCCCCTTCCCAGCGAAGTTTGTGTTGAGAGCTAGACCACCTCCCCGTAGTGCTGTAGTGGCCGCCGTCGCCGCCGCCGCCGCCGCCGCTGCTCCTTCATGAGTATATGGCATGACCTCGTGCCCTTAATGGGTTTTCTTACAG